GAGCATCGACCTGTGAACCATTAGGTCACAGTTTGATTCCCAGTCAGGGCACATGCCCCGGATGCGGGCTCAATCTCCAATAAAGGGTGTGTAGGAGGCAGCTGATCAATGATTCTCTCTCATCAGTGATGTTTCTATCTCTTTCTCTCTCTCTCCCCCTACCTCTCTGAAATAAAAAAAAAAAATTTCATTAAAAAATAAAGTGAGACCTTTTCTCTATATCTAAATTTGATGTTATTTAAGAACAAAAAAATCAGTTTCTAAGTAACGAAGAACTAATGTTAACATAAGCATGCTTTTAAATTTAAATAAGACATGGAGAGCAAAGTATGAACCCTTTTTAAATGGGTAAGTCTAGCTCTGGCCAATGTGGCTCAGTTGGAACATCTTCCCATACACTGAAAGGTTTGATTCCTGGTCAGGGAACATACCCGGGTTTCGAGTTCAATCCCGGTCGGGGCATGTGTGGGAGGCAACCGATCAATGTTTCTCTCTCACATCAATATTTCTCTCTCCCTTCTGCTCTCTAAATATCAATTTTAAAAATGTATAAATGGCCAAAACCGGTTTGGCTCAGTGGATAGAGCGTCAGCCTGCAGACTGAGAGGTCCCGGGTTCGATTCCGGTCAAGGGCATGTACCTGGATTCCTGGTCAGGGAACATACCCAGGTTTCGAGTTCAATCCCGGTCGGGGCATGTGCGGGAGGCAACCGATCAATGTTTCTATCTCTCTCCCTTCCTCTCTGTGAAAAATCAATAAAATATATTAAAAAAAAAATGTATAAATGGGCCCAGCTTGCATGGCTTAGTGGTTGAGTGTCGATCTATGAACCAGGAGGTCACAGTTCGATTCCGGCTCAGGGCACATGCTGTGTTGCGGACTCGATCCCCATTGGGGGTGGGGGTGGGGAGTTGCAGGAAGCAGCCCATCAATGTTTCTCATCATTGATGTTTCTATTTCTCCCTCTCCCTTCCTCTCTGAAATCAATATACATATATTTTTATTTTTTATGTATAAATGGGTACGTCTGTATCTGAGGGGAAAACGTCTGTGTTTTCTATCATTCTGCCCTACTTATTTTCACTTGACTTTTACATGGGGCCAAAAGAATTACAAAAGCCTGATTTCACTGCTGGCAGCAAGATGCATACAGCTGCCATTGTCAACAATGTAATGAGACATTCAAAAACATGAGGAAGGGACAACAGAATAGCAAAACCTAGGACACATTATAACCAAGTTACATCTCTTATAGTGTGACATTCTGTTTCTTTTTTTCTAATTTGTTTTAGGCCAAAATAGACTAAAGAAATAATGACCCTTCATTTCTGTCCTATCCCCTTAAGCTTCCTACACAGTGGCGTTTAAGGTGTCCTTTTTGTTCTTCTTTGTTACATGTTGAATTTTTCTGTGTCTAGCAGTTCATGTCATTTATGTGAAGAGACTGTGGATAGTGTGGTACCATTAACGGACTCGCTGTACTAAGGAAGGTTGAGTAGAATCAATGTTAAAAGAATATAATCTAGAAAAGTATAGATTGAGTAAAATAGGGCAGCAGCAGTCAGGGTTTCTCTAAAGCTAAGGCTGTATATGTTGAACATTTTGACCTGTGAATTTTTTTTTTTTAATCAGGAATCAGAAGTTTATAAATCACCTTGACTTAGTGACTTCCAATGAGACTACCATCTTTTTTTTTAAATATATTTTTATTGATTTCAGAGAGGAAGGGAGAGGGAGAGATAGAAACATCAATGGTGAGAGAGAATCATTGATCAGCTACCTCCTGCACGCCCCCTACTGGGGATCGAGCCCACAACCCTGGCATGTGCCCTTTACCAGAATCGAACCCGGGACCCTTCAGTCCTCAGGCTGATGCTCTATCCACTGAGCCAAACCAGCTAGGATGAGACTATCATTTTAACCTAGCTCCTATAAGATAAGTGAACATGTCCTAATTTGAGAATGACCATCTCTGGAAATAGAATTGTTGGACTTTTTCCAGAACTTTATGACAAATGACATATTGTGTTAAAAGGACTTTCTACCGTGAAATTTGTATCCCTTTCTTATTAATAACTATAATGTTGAAGAGAAAATAATTGAAGGAAATATTTATCCTTTCATTTTTTTTTATTTTAAGGATTTTTTAAAATATATTTTTTATTGATTTCAAAGATGAAGGGAGAGGGAGAGCGAGAAACATTAAAGATGAGAATCATTGGTTGGTTGCCTCCTGCACACCCCCTACTGGGGATCGAGCCTGCAACCCAGGCATGTGAACTTGACCGGAATCGAACCTGGGACCCTTCAGTCCGCAGGACGATAGATCCTCTATCCACTGAGCCAAACCAGCTAGGGCTATCCTTTCATCTTTTACTTATATAAGCTAGGAGTGAAATAAAAATAGGGTTCTGTTGGTTTTTGCCATTTGAGAATACTTAAAATGAGAGTGACTAAGAAATCCCTAACAGAGACATTGTTTATTTTTCTTTAGAAGTTAGTAAAGAATTCAAAGTCTTTAGGTAAGCCCTGGCTGGGTGTCTCAGTTGGTTGGAGCATCATCCCTACACCAAAATGTTGTGGGTTCAAATCCCAGTCAGGGCACATACCTGGCTATCTATCTCCCCCTCCCTCCCTCCTTCTCACTCTCTCTGAAAGGCAATGGAAAAAAATATCCTCGGGTGAGGATTAACAACAACAAAAAACTATCAGAAGCTTCAAATTCTTTTGTGGGTAATAACAGGGACCTCAATATCTAGAGAAAAAGGTCAAGCACATCAAAACTACATGAACCCACCATTATTTTGGTGGTGGTGTGGTTTTTTGTGTCTTGTATTTTTTTTAGGTGTTTTTTTTTAATTGATTTCAAAGAGGAAGGGAGAGGGAGAAGGAAACAATGATGAGAGAGAATAATTGATTGGCTGCCCCCTGCATGCCCCACACCAGGGATTGAGCCCACAATCGGGGCATGTGCCCTGACTGGGAATCGAACTGTACAACCTTCTGGTGCATAGGTCGATGCTCAACCACTGGCTGAGCAAAACTACATGGACCCACTATTGTAATAAAGCATTGTAAAGACTTCCTATGGTGTGATTAGAAACCACCGAAGCTGGCCCACCTGTTCTGGAGACAGTTAAAGCCTTTTATTTTGTTCATGACCATTATTTAGATGTTAATTGTTTCATGGAAACTGATTATGATACACATGTCCTACTAGACAACTTGAGGTGACTTCTCTCAAACTGTGATCCTAAAGAACCCATTTACTTTGGGAGAAGATATGTATTGAATAAAGACACCTTGAAGATATGGTACTGGAAGTTTTTGGTACTGGAACTATAGCTATTGTTCTGCAGAGGATGTTGGTAACTTTTCATCTAGCAGTTTGTTTGTTTTTTCTTGACTTTACAGCAATGTATAAATTTGACTACGTTGTGTATTGTCTTCATCTATACAGTTACTTAAGTTATCAACCTGCCTTATTTAAGAAGCCAGTAAAACAGAAGTAATAAAAAATGAGGATCCAACAATAAATGTCTAACACTGAAGAAAGAACTGCATCTGTTATATAAAACAATGTAGCCCTCGCTGGTTTGGCTTAGTGGATAGAGTGTCGGCCTGCGGACTGAAGGGTCCCAGGTTCGATTCCGGTCAAGGGCACATGCCTAGGTTGTGGGCTCGATCCCCAGTGCGGGGCATGCAGGAGGCAGCCAATCAGTGGTACTCTCTCATCGTTGTTTCTATCTCCCTCTCCCTCTCCCTTCCTCTCTGAAATCAATAAAAATATGTTTTAAAAAATAGAATAATGTAATCTCACTGACAAATTCCATACTTTATATGAATGGCTGTAAACTGAAGCTTTAACATGAGCTGTGGAGTCTCTGAAAATGTATTTTTGCCCTGCCTGGCATCACTCAGTGGTTAGAGCATCAGCCTGAGCACTGAAGGGTTTCAGATTCGATTTCCAGTCAAGGACATGTACCTGGGTTGCAGGTTTGATCCCCAGGCCTAGTTGGGGCACATGCAGGAAGCAACCAATCAGTGTATTTCTCGCACATGGATATTTTTTCCTCCCCTTCCCCTTTTCGTTCCACTCTCAAAAGAATCAATGAGGAAGGGGGGAAATATCTATACTCCAGTGAGGATTAACAATAAAAGAAACTAAAAAGAAAATGTACTTTTGATACAATAATCTAAATGAAGAATTTATATTTTTTAAATAATAGGTAGAGGAACTAAAGAGATACTGTTTCTTCTTCCTGACCACTTGTATTGATGTCACTGCATAAATAAAATAGCTAACCTCACTAGAATTACACTGCACTATGTTAGTACACACATGTGATGCTAAGCAGATTTGCCTTAAAGAAAAATTTAGAAGGAAATTTTGTTGGTTGTCATTGTTTTTAACTCAAGACATGAGGTTGCACCCTGGCCGATGTTGCTCAGTTTGATTGTTGCCCTATGCTCTGAGCAGTTGCCGGTTTGATTCCTGATCAGGGCGCATGCCCGGGTTGCGGGCTCAATCCCCAGTAGGGGTTGTGCAAGAGGCAGCCAATTGATGTTTCTCTCATTGATGTTTCTCTCCCTCCCCCTTCCTCTGTCACTCTAAAATAAATAAAAACATATTAAAAAAAAAAGACATGAGTTTGCATCCATGGTATAACAAATGAACCAAACGTCCCTGCACATACATTACATAGTGTTTTCTCTAATGAAGGTTTTGTATCACCATTTATAATTAACAGCATCTTTTCCAGAAAAAGGTAGAATTAGAAATGATGCTTAGGTACTTTAATAAAACCACATTTTGAAATTAGTATGGATTTTGTCTATATTATACTTTTGGTTCTAAGTAGTGTTTGTTTATTAGAATTAATAATATATACTAGTAAGAATGCCTTTAAATCAGATGTTTAACTTGTGATATTTTCCCCAGTTTTGATTACATTAACCATAATTATCAATGGCACTAATTTGACTTTTTGTTTTGTAGTCTCTGGTTTTCAGCAGCCACTGTAAAGCAGTGAGTGGCTACTCAGACCAGGTCATCCATCAGCGGAGATCAGCTACCTCCTCGCTTCGTTGCTGCCTGCTCACTGAGCTACCATCTTTTTTGTGTGTGGCCAGTCCACGAGTAAGTGCCACAAAAGGGAAGAGACAAAGTAGATGGTATTGGAAGAAATAAACAAATTTTCAAGGCATCCATATCTTAAACGACTGTTTTAAGCTATTTGGATCTTGAGAAACATACAGATTCTTAGTATTTAGAAAAAGCATCCTCACCACAGTCTTGGCTTTCCCTAGACAGCACTTCTCACCTTGAACTGGGTTAGTTTAAGAATTGTATTGACCCTGGCCGGTGTGGCTTAGTTGGTTGGAGGCAGCCTCCTCTGCCCCAGAAGTCATGGGTTTGCTTCCCAGTCAGGGCATATACCAGGTTATGGGTTTGAACCCCCTGTCGGGGCACATGAGGGAGGCAACCCATTGTTGCTCCTCCCTCCCTCCTTCCTCCCCTCCCTCACCTGTCCGTCTCTCTCTAAAATCAGTAAAGGCATATCCTCGGGTGAGGATTAAAAAATTAAAAATTTAATAAGAATAGTTGAATGGTAGATAGTTGTGGTTTTTTCCCCCTGACCTTGTCTCTCCTCTGTAGTTCCTCTCATTTAGTCAGGGGCTCTAATCTACCATGGCAGCAAGCCATCTGTCAGGTAGATTATCACCCAACAACAATTGTGATATTTGACAACAGGTCAGGGACAGTGGAATATTTGAAAAGAAGAGGGAGCCATTTGTCACCTGCATTGAGGTTTTTGAGGGTTTTTCAGAGGAGGGGGCCAGATTGGCAGGGAGATTTGATCTGGCCTTATCGCCTCAGCGCAGTCTCCAAATAACAAAAGGAAACATAACACTCTGGCTTCAAGAAACTTCTTAGTCTGGTGTTCTCACTTTCCTCAGCAGTCCTGCCTGCACTGTGGTTCACAAGTATGTTCCTTCTGAAAAGTGACTGTTGTGCAGTATTTGCCATTCAGCAGTCATGGTCTTATTTATAGACTGGGGGTTTATGTTGCAGTTTTAACTTTGAGCACTGTTGGATTCTTCCTATCACCTGTTTACTAAAACAGGGCACTCCGGTGATTGTTGACAGCATTGCTGCAAAGGCTGCCCCCTTGGCATACTGTGGTGGTTTACTTTGCTTACACCTTCTCTCTTTCTGTCCTTATTGATCAATGCCAGATACAACCTCAAAGAAGGATATGAAGGGAAGAGAAGCAGAGTAGAGATGTGACTAGACTTTGGTTTGAGCAAAGATCAAGTTTCTGTCTTTCTGTCTTGTTTTCTTTTGCTTTAAGGGGCAATTTTCATAACCAGGAGACTCTTTAAGAGGCTGACATTTCTTACCCTTCTGTGTGCTTTTTTCTTGTTTCCTCCACTCATCCTAGCAAGTTTACTTTTTCACAGTTCTATTCAGAGAAGGGAGTCTTTTGATTCTTCCTTAGTGATTTTTCCCACCATCATTTATATCAGCTTGCATCTTTATTAAGTTATCAAAGATCAGAATCCGGCAAAGGGTCCAAAGAAAGATGATGACTGGAAATGAGATGATATTATTGAGTCCCATGGACTCCTGCCTGCCTAGATTTCTTTCTGCTGGTCCTGTGTTACATGAATTTGATTCCCTTGCTGCTGTCCTCTTCATTTGATTTACATTGATTATCCAGTTGATACAGAGAAATGCACTTTTTTTAGGAAACATCTAAAGCCAAGTGCTTCCATAGAAAGCAGCCTTCAGGCTTCATGGTTGTGTGGTTTGTTTCCGTCTCACTCTCCTAATATGATGTGTATACCGCGAGGCCTGATAAGAGGAAGTACAGATTTTTGAGAGCCGTATGTCAAGATATTTTTACTTTTCATATTCCCAGTATTTTATGGAGCCAATAAAAAGTGAACTGCCTTGAACTATAATTGCATTTATGGACATAAAAATTCTTTGTTTTTACCATTCCAAGGTCTATAGTCAACCACTCTGAAGAACAACTCTATTTTCTGAACATAGTCACACATATGCACCCCAACTGTACTTCAGAGTATTGTTTTCGGAGGAGGTAGAAGTCTAAACCAAGGTTGCCAACCTTTCAGACCTCGCGGACCACCAGTGGTCCGCGGACCACCGGTTGGCAACTGCTGGTCTAAACTGTCATGCATTGTGCTGCTGTTTCCATAAAAAACAATAAAAAGTAGCTTGAAGACTGCCATAGTGTATAAAGATGTGGAAGCAGTTAGAATAGGAGAAAGCTTTTATCATTGGACGAAAGGGCTCCTTTCCAGCATCCTACTCAGCCCCTCCTGAAAATGGGAGTACTTACATGATGGTTATGAGGACAGGAAAAAGAGCTTTAAACATGTCTGGGTATTTTATATACACATACACACATTCTTACCTTTGAGATCAGGCCTGGAGTATAAGGCAACATTTCATGCAATGTCTTAATTATATTTATTTCTCACCCATCTGTGATGGAGAGAAACTGACTTCCTTTGAATCCTCAACCTTGGCCTTGAATTAAGACAAATTTTCCTGGCACATGCTATGAAAACTAGGGTCAGTTCAGGAAGAACTGTGCCATTAAGGAAGGAATTATAGGAGCTGTTTTCTCATTAGCCCAGAACATAATTCTGCAGGGGTCATAAACTAGACCTGGAAATTCATCTTATTAAAAAATTGTAGCGCTTGGAGCGGTCACGCTTCCTAGAGCTAGAGCAGGAATATACGTGTCCTCAGGAAGGACGCGTTGAATGCTTGAGGAGGCAGCCCCTGAGATACTTTAGTTTAGGAAGTTAATGAAGCAAGAAACAGGTTAGCTTATGTGGTACTGAAAGGAGTATGCATTTCCATTTGTGGGAAGGGGAAAATAGTATGTCATGCTTCATTGCCCCGTTTCTGAACCATCAGGAAGACCACGTGGGTCAAGGCTGTCTATCTAGGACAGAGCTGACTTAGAAAGCAGGATTTAAGTAGAAATGGACTTGTTTGCCCCCCTTGAACCTCATGAGTTTGCTGCTTACGTATTCACAACATGACATTCTATGATTCTGCATATATCTTGATCCAGGGCTCCTGCCAAAGAAGCTTATCAAAACATTAAAAAATATTTCACTAAGAACTGTGCCTTGCAAACCTCCCAGTTTCAATCCTGGACTTGGAAGGAGACTTGGAAGGATATCAGCAAAATGAAAGTTGGGAAATGGGTGAAAGTTTATAACTGAAAAAAGTTGGTTTGTTTTTAAACTATTAAGACTGCCTAGTACTGAGTCCCAGGCAGGGAAAACGTTTTCCCCTGTGTCACTGTGGACCGTGTTCCTTCAGGCTAAGTTTCTAGCTTTTGATTTTTCATTTTGAGACTGTGGGCTCAAAGTCTTTTATATAAGTTCTGCTGATCTACAAAATAAACAACAAAACAACCCAAAGCAGTTATCTTTGAGTGTAAATTGGCCAGTATGAGTCTCTCATAGGCTGTTTTACTCATCCAAGAGTATGCATGCTATTTGAGATATATAGAACTGGTCATACTTCTGTAGTCCAAACCACTGCTTTCTTAGCTATTTTTATGGAATTAGCAGATATTGATTGTGAGGTTCTGGGACTCAGAGGGTAGATGTCGGCTCTGATCCATTATCTGCTGGGCCACTGTCAGGACAAACCATAGCAGGGAAACACCCAATTTTTTTCCACCTGCTTTGTATTTCAGTATTTATTTGCCTATGCTCAACTTTCAGTGGGAAAAATATAACTTGGAAATAAACTGTGGAGAGGATAAATGTTATATGAGATGATCAAAACCTTCTCTTAGTGCTACCTGAATAAGCCAATTTCTGTATGAGCCTGTCTGCATTTTGGAGCTCTAGGGGCTCAGCTTGCTGTGACCCTCTGTAGTTTTGCATCTGGACCATAGATGGCACTGCACCCTAGCAAACTCAGGTCAGCTTCATCGCGAGCATATTCTGTGGTTTTTGGTAAATGATGCTCTTTCTCTGGTTTTGGTATTCTCTAGTCCTCAGCAGAGACACCTGCAGCTCCATAGTAAGCTAGCTGACTGTTTATATACCCCGTGGCAGTATTTTCAAGGCTCAGCCTAAGATGTTGGGGTACTTGTTAAAAACAGTTCTTAGTGAAATGTTTCGATAAGCTTCTTTGGCAGGAGCCCTGGGTCAATATATACACAGAATCGTAGAATGTCATGTTGTGAATACATAAGCAGCAAACTCACGAGGTCTAATAGGGGGCAACAAGTCCATTTCTACTTAAATCATACTTTCTAAGTCTATTTGGCAAATAGAACTTTGCCAAAGCAGCATCCAGCAGTGAAGGGAGTTGCAAAGCCATCATATATATATATGAATGATAGAATTATTCCTGACCTGGTATCCCAGTTTATCCACGAACTCCAACACTCTTTGGATCTTTAGTTTTGTTGTAGGTTCATGTTATAAGAGGTTGACCTTTTACCTGGGAAGGCTCATTAAGTCATTATTAAGGAACGTTTAGTTTGTTAGAACAGGGAAGGTAAAACACATAGCCCAAGAATTAGTTGATTTCAAAGTTGAGGTTCCCAAAGGGCTTAGTGGGTGTGGAAAATGTGAAAGAACCATCTCATTTGACTCTGACTGTAGGTCACCGCAGTGCCATTGGATTCTTACTGCAATGACCGAAGTGCAGAGTATGAGCGGCGAGTGCTGAAGGAAGGAGGGAGTCTGGCAGCCAAGCAGTGTTTGTTGAATGGGGCCCCTGAACTGGCAGCAGACTGGCTAAATCAACGGTCCCAGTTCTTCCCAGAGCCAGCTGGAGGACTGTGGAGCATCAGGCCTCAGAATGGCTGGTCTTTCATCAGGATTCCAGGTGAGTCCTCTGTTTGCTTGAAATATGTTAACAGCTTTGGCAAGGACAAAACCAGGGAGATGCTCCATGTGGTGGTTTCAGATATTTGGAATTCAAAGTTTTGGGTTTCTGTTTCTTCTGCCCTTAGTAACTTATTGGTAAGTATATTTAAATAATTTGTGACTTGAGTAGAGAGAAATGTGTTTTAGATTTGTGCTTACTCTCCTTTGATAAGCTTATAGCTGTGAACGCTACTCTTACAAAAGGGGAGGAGGTAGAAATATACTTGGTAGAAAGGCTTCAGTCAAGTGAGTATGGTTGTCTTGTGCCATTGCCACGGGGATGAAGGAGAATGTCGTCACTCACAGAAAGCCTAGTTCAAGTAGCATAAACAGTGTCCTGCGTGAAACACTGGAGATCTGAGTGATAACCAGAAGTAAAACAGTGTGTTTTGTGTCAAAATGCTAGCAGATTCCCAGTCTTCCCAGGGTCGTGGTCATGGGTTGGAAGGAAACGAGGTTTTCATCTTTGCTTTAGTGAGACTACTTTTAAGGAAATTGAGTACAGGGGTCATGGGCTCATGTTCTTTGCTTACACCTGCAGGCAAACTGAAGCAGTAGCTTAGAGCTATTGTGTTAGTTTTGGTTGTCCACACTCTCTGATATTTTTATTGTATTCATCTTATTGGCATATAGCGGAAGTAAACTAGAGCTAAGCATTCAAAAGAAAGAATCTGCTATTTCTAAGAGATAACTGGATCAGGGTTTAAGACCTGGTTTTTCCATTTTAATGTTAACTTTGTCAAATGTCAAAAGACTTCGGGTCAACCTGCTCTTGTAGGTTGGGTATATGAGAACAGTATTGTAAATGGCCTCATAACTGGCTTAGAACATGTAGGTATATTGTTGTAAAATGAGGGAAACCCCAAGTATAAAGAATGCTTGAATACTGATGGGAATAGAGGGATAGAATCCAGCAGGTATGAAAACCACAGAATCCCAGGCAGAAGATGAACACAGGTATTGAAAGAAGCAAGACAACACCATATTTCTTCTTTCTCCTGTCTCCATTCTGGCTGCTTAGTTCCCAGTACAGGAGTAGAAGACTTATTGCTGGCGCTGTGGGAATCTCTTGTGGCTTTTCCTGTTCTTTGAAAGAAAAATGGACCTTGTTTAAATAGCAGGAAGTGTCTGAGTTCTTTTCGCATCGATAAAAAGCACCAGCCTCACTGGCTGTTTACTGTGAGAACCAACCAGCTCCTCACTGACCCTATTGTGCTCTGTAGACTGGCTGGGGCAGGGCAGCAGGGGAGGGAGCCACTGGAAACCTATAGTTTATCTCTTTTCTCTGTACTTTTACATTTTCTATTTTCCTAGGAAGGGTTGGTTCCATTATGGTCCTTGAGAAACTAACCAAAATCTCCTGGATTTCACACATTGAATGTGTCTCCATGTTCACTGGAAGAAGGATTTACAATCCCTTCAAAAGTCTAGTCTCCTCCCCTTGGTAAAAGGAGATACTATTTAATGTTACCCTGATTTTACTGCCATGAGACACATTCATTTTGTCTCTGAGCAGGATCTTACACTGTGGTCAGTAAGAACCTGTATCAAAGTGAAAATATTATAAGACTATAGGAATATAAGACAGAATTGTAGGAAAGATTGCAAGAAAGTAAGTCTGCTCATTTCAACATTTTTCTTGAGCTCCTGTTTTAAAGAAGGGGCTGGGCACAGGTTTGACTTGGCAAAATCAGCCTAATTTCTAGGAAATTGTGTTCTTGGCTCTACGCCCTGCTTAGTAATAGGCCGTACTCTAGCCCAGTGCAACTTTGGTAGCTCTTAAAAAATTGGGTAACCGCCCTGGCCTGAGTTACTCAATGGTTAGAGCGTCAGCCTGCTCACTGAAGGGTCATGGGTTCTATTCTGGTCAAGGGCACATACCTGGGTTGCAGGTTCAATCCCTACCCGAGTTGAGGCATGATCGGGAGGCAACCAATTGATGTGTCTCTCAAATCGATGTTTCTCTCTGTCTTTCTCCCTCCCCCTTTCTCTCTCCATCTTCCCCCCCCCCCCCAAAAAAAAAATCAATGGAAAGTGAAGATTAACAAAACAAAACGAAAACGAAAAAATTGTGTAAAGGACGCCAGGCCCAGAAGACACCAGTGTATACAAAGAAACCAATTTTCCTGCATATCTTTATAAGGACAATTACTAGAGGCTGACTACCTCTATCTATCATGTTCATCAGAAAAACAAATACTGTTCATTATTTAAGTGTTTTAAGACTTACAGAAGTCTCTTTCTTCTTAGGCCTTTTCCTTCAGGGCAGTCCAAAGAAATCCAGTCTGTCCACTTCCACACACCCCCCCCACCCCGCCCCCTACACAAAAAA